ATGTGTGACTTTGAGAGATCTTGCAATGAATCTGAGTCTTAATGAAAAAATCTGAAATACTTCCTCTACCACTTCCTGCAAACCAGATGGAGGAACTGGAGGATTCCATAGCTGACAGCTGTATGGTAAGATTGTACAGCTATAAGAGGTGTTGTACTTGGAGAATTAATTGAATGCTTACATTTTTTTCTTAAATTTGGTGTTCTAAAATGTTGTCATTATTGTATGTGTTGATTTGTGATCTTTCAACATCTTAGGCCTTTTATGCACAAAACGGCATTGCCAGCTGTTCACCAGCAGATGGTGACATTTGTAATCCCTAAGTTTTCTCCTTTTGACACTTGGACACACCGACACTTGGAGTTTCCCTGTAACTCATAGCTGACAGCTGGTGCTGTATTTCCAATAATCGTTACATGGAAATATGTGAGTATGTGCTTGTAGACTGTACTTTGTTGTTGCAGTGTATCATCACGGAAACATAGTCAAAGTTTTAAGCGTCACCGAAACTAGTTCACACAAGTCCAGCCTTTGTATGATGATCATTCTCGTAGGTCAGACAGTGACTTACTACAGATATCATATTTCAGTTTTTGTAACCTTTTGCTTGCTCACTGTTTTGTTTTTCCCCCTCCAATGCATCTGTATTTAACTGCCTGAATGTGAATTTGCATCAGTGATGACGTATTCACTTTCTTGTCCGAAGTCTTATCAGCATACAGGGCGGGGCGAAGGGAGGTATGTATATGTGTTCATCTGTGTGCATGGTTTGGATTCAGAGGGTGTCTCCAGGACAGGAGAGCTGCAGAAAGTGACAGAACTGGAGTGATGAGTGACTGTGAGAAAGAGAAAAGAAACTCTACCAGAGGAATTTGTGAAAGGTTTTGACCTTCTCTCTCTCTTTAGTGACTGTAATCAAACATCTAGGTGAGTGTTACCCAAACTGCTAAAATGAATTCACTTCACAGCATCATGATGACAGACTGGAGCCTTAAACGACTGCTACATCCATTAATGCATGTTCCATGATGCTGACTTCTTGTTATTGTTTGATTTGTACCTTTTCTTGGAGACTGTTACAGTTTAAATTCCCACGCAATCATTATTTTTATTAACAGCTGTGTTGTTGTTGTTGTTGTTACAGACCCACTTCCTTCCATGCTGCAATAATATTCTCACAGTAGGTATGTTTTTTTCTGTAATATGTAAATCACATTTCAGCTTACTGTCGTGAAAGTCAAACATGGTTACATGGCAACCAATCATAGCCAGTTTCCAGGGTTAGCTTTGTATTTTATCACACAGCTCTGCTTGTTTGTGTAGCGAGAAAAGATAGGAGATATGAAATCAGTCTCTTTATCAGCCCCTATCACTACGATTAGACATGAACAGAAAACCCTATGCATTCATTGGTGTATATTCAGTTATCAGTTTATTATGTATGTATTACTGATAAATCATATCTTCATTTTTTTTGTTGTTGTTGTTGTCGAAAGAGATGTTTTGATTGGCTTTTATAGTGCTATTAGGTTTTATTGCTTTATCCTATGAGGTGTTTTAATATCTTGTTTACTCAATTAATATTAGTGACAGAGTACGATTTAAGTATACTTAATACTGTGCAACCAAACAGCTAATAAAAAGGTGTCAGATGCAAGCCGAGATGCAGAACACACTGCAGTTTAACATCAACTGATTCTGATGTATACCTGCACAGCTGTCGGCAAACTGAAGAATAATACACTTCATGTTCGTTGAAAATATGATCCAAGAAAGGAAGCATTATGAAAATCACAAAGCTTATCTATCTACCAAATCTCTACAGCCCGGTGCAAAGTTGCTGAATGCCTATATTCTGTTCTGTGCACTCTTCCTGTTGTGGGTATTTCAGCTCTCAGTTTTTAATTTTAAAGTCACACCAGGACGTTCCCAATTCAAAAGTTTAATTAAAGGCTAAACACCCGTTGATTTGGGACCATATGTGCAATTTACACTACAAACGGTTGCGTCAACACTGTGTTTCTCATGATTTACTCAGATGTCTGCATTCATGTGCAGACATGATGCTGCATTTAGCTCATCTGGAAAGTCAGAGTAAGGCGACGTGACTGAGCGAGCTACGTGACTATGACTCTGATGTCAAAACTGAATACCGAACATTTTATTCTAAAATATTTTGTGACATCACATTGTAACAATCTGTATTTTACATGTATGTAACTCTAATTGTTATTCCAATATCTACTTTGGCATTCTATTGAGAGTATTATACGATCTGATAATACATCCATAATTGGAAATGTGAGAATTAGCAACCACTGAGAACACTTGGAGAAAGCAGTTTAAATCAAGCTGAAATTCCTCATCAGTCAGGCTGAACAATCGATTGAATTAATATCAAAATCTCAGTACGTCCAAGTGCATTGTCCAAATTAAGCTGCAGTTTTTTTTGATAAAGGTAAATGTGTCGCAAGATGCTGATAAAATTGGAGGATTGTGGTGCTACAAAGATGCCACACATAAAAGAGCGTGCTTGTTTTGTAAAGACTGCAGCAAAAAATAAATAAAAATTACATCATAGTGTTTAGATTTGCTTAAGTGCAACAGGAGTCACAATACTGATGAAAGATATCACAATCAGATTTTCTCAGTTGTTGGTTCTTGTACTTCGTTCAGCCTTACTCATCAGGTCACACAAATTCAGTTCAGATAATGTGGCGTAACAGTAGTAAGCTTTAAAACGTGTATTGTTTTGGGCTTCTTGGTTTATTCTTGGTCCTTCATCTGCACATTAGTTAGCTTGTCCTGTGTTTGCCGAGCCCACACGGCACATTCTGTCACTTGCAGTTGGGGAAGCTCAACTGAAATTCTGGATAACGTAACGTACATCTCCATATTAACTCTGTTAACATTGAACGCTACCTCATGTGAGCAAGCTTTTGTTCGCAAGATGCACTGTTACCGACTAAACCAGCTTGTTCCTCACTACCTCGTGTTATGCTCAGCGCTATTGTTAGTACTACAGTACGACAGAAAGTGATTATGCAAAAGCTGAGCCATGCAACTATACTTTCTGAACACTGAGGTTCTTTCATTTTCGGGAGCTGCATGTCTCAGAACAAGAACTAAACAGGTCTTGCAACAATATGGCATGCAGCAACTGTCAGCCATGCAGCCTGCCAAGTCACTAATACCAACAATGAATGGCCTTAACTGTAACTAATATACAGGTTTAAGGGGGAATAAGTAATTGAATTCATTGTTTTTAGTCATTTTTATTGAAAAAAAAAAAACTCAAAAAGTGGGAGTATTTCCTGGTTTTTGGACATTGTTCTCTGTTTTCTGACATTTAATTGACAAAATGTTTCCTGACGCAATAAAGAAAAAAACAATCAGATTATTTCACAATGAAAATAATGAATTAGTCTGAGTCTTAGTCAGGCTTAATATGAGTCATTCCTGATGAATTATTTTCTTTGATTACATCCTCAATTCTGTGGGTGCTTTGCTTTGAAGTCCTGAGAGCATTTTTAGGCTTTTCAGATCAAACAAATCTCTACCATAAGATAAGATTTATGTCCTTAAGGTCTGGCCAAATTGGACACTTCAATCAAAAACATATTGATGAACTGTTAACAGACAGATACATGCTTTGGTTCTGTTCTCAGGCATTCCCGTTCACTTGTCTAAGAATGTGTTGCCAAACGGCTGGTATGTGGCGAAACCGCAGCGACAGGCTTCGACATGTTGTTTGTATCCAAGTACTAAGATTTTTTTTTTCTCATTGGGTTTACTCTTGCTGATGCTGTTGCGCAAAAAAGGACGAGTCACAGCAGAGCACAGTGGGCTCCAAGAAAACTACTGTTAAAGAGAATTCCTCCTCTTTAATCCTGTCAGGTTGTTTTCTTAAGACGTACAATTATGAAACTAATTGCATTTAATAAGGTTTAGTTACAGTTTCCTTGACGGCAAGGTGGGTTTGTAATTGGTCAATAAAGACCGACGACTGAGTGTGAAATCATTGCACTGATTCATAGCATTTGAGAAACAGTGATGATGATGTATCTGCTAACGACAGGCAGCAGCACATCTACCTTTCACAACATCACCATCGCTGTCATCATCATGCATTAAATACATCATTTCTTTCCACTGCAGACAGCTGTGATCATAAAACAACAGCAGATGTTGCTTGACGGAATACAAGCAAAGCATTTGGCTCTTATGCAACATTAATACTGAACTTTATTTCTACAGCACGTCCAAAACAGTAATAACAACAGGCTTTAGAAAAAAAGATGAACAGCAACAAAACCAAAAGGCTGGTTTGTATTGTATTGTATTGTATTGTATTGATTCATTTAAATTCCACCTAAAAAAAACACAAAATTGACTTTGCAACAGATCTACAACTGTTAAGCTAAAATGAACAACCTCAGTCTTTATGGATCAGAGACGCTTGACAGAATTTTGAAATACAGTACGTCCCCTTGTCCCCTTCAGCAGACGAAAGGAAAATCCGCAAACATGTTTTTATTTCAGTTTGATTTCCACCTATTTAAAACTTTTATTTACAGGGTGAACAACCTGTGCAACCCTACACTGTAAAAAATGAATAAATAAATAAAAATACAAAAGCGAGGGTGCCAGAAAAAGCATAGTGGAAGTGGAAATGTTTCTTATTATTCAAACTATTACAATATTTAATGCTTCACTACCATAAAATACTATATTTTACTTTTTTGGTTTTTCTTTAATTTTTTTTTATTTTTTAAATTTAAAAAAAAAATAAAATAAAAAAATAGCGGTGAAAATCTTTCAGCCAGGGTGCCAGAAAAGAGAGTCCTAAAAAATAGTGGAATATTATAACTTGTTAACACTTTACACTAAAATTAAACAGGCTAAAATGTGTAAAATAAAGATGTTTTTAGGTGATTGAAATACAATACAACAGTGTAACTTTGTGGTCATGCAATGCAAAAGAATTACTTGTAAAAATACACATTTTTGGTGTAACCATTATTTACAAATTTGGTTTCTTTTACAGTAAACTTTAATACATTAATTTATTAATATATGGTTATTTGTTATTTGTTGAGGTGTTACTAGATATTATAGATTTAACAAAATAAGGATACTTTGTAAGATAACAGTTAAAAAATTATTTACCATTTTACAATCCTTAATATGCAGAATTTGTCATTCAAATATGGTAAATATGTAAATTTTTTATTTTTTATTTTTTATTTTTGCCTGGTAAATGCAGTAAAGAAATTGTATAATTTTACTATCAAATGCTGTAAAAAAAACAAACAAACAAACAAACAAAAAAAAACCCACTGAAATTAAAGCTTTTGATGTGGACGTTAGTATTAAAGTTTTAGCCTGTTTTTTTAAGGGTTAAATTGTAAAAGATTTTTTTTTCTGCAATTTTATCAGTTATCCGTAATTAAACAAAAATGGGAAAACTGCAAAAATAATTGTTCCAAAAATTACAATTAAAAAAACTTTCACTTTTTACAGTGTATAGTCAGTAACCACTGATGTTACTGAACCGCTTCTAAAAATCCTCAACGGCAGTTCAACCAGATTTGATGAAACACAACAACCCTACATATATTTTAATCACAGTAATAGATCGTCTTTACACTGAACATGCTACAACCTGCAAACTTAATTAAAACAAAAAATAACAGTGGGTTGTGTTTTAACAACAGATAAGATAATGATGGAAACGGTTGCGCAAGACAAACCTTGTATGCACCAACACCTTCTAACTGTCTGCTTCTCTTCTCTTCTTTTTCTTTGTTTCTTCTCTTAAAGCACTGCTGTCAAACATGGCTTCCAACTTCAATGTCTCGGATGGACAGCTCTACTGTCCACAGCTTGAACTGATGAGGAACCATGCACTCAACAACAACACCAAGGTCAACCTGGCAGTGGTTTGCATCCACGGTCTGGTCTCCTGCCTGGGGATTCTGGAGAACGCCCTGATCATGTGGGTGGTGGGTTTCCGTTTGAGGCGCCGCACCGTGGCCTCCGTCTGGGTGCTGAACCTGGCCATATCGGACTTCCTGGCCACCCTGACGCTCCCCCTCTTCACCGCCTATCTAAACTCTCCCCACAGCTGGGAGCTCGGCAACACCCTTTGCAAAGCACAGGCGTCCATCTTTTTCTTGAACATGTTTGTATCGGCCTTCCTGCTGGCGGCCATTTCTCTGGACCGCTTGCTCCTGGCGACCAAACCGGTATGGAGCCAGAATCACCGGTCCGTGGCGGGAGCGTGGAAGGTGTGTGCGCTGGGCTGGTTGTGGGCAGCGATCAATACGTCACCTTACTCCTTGTTCCGCTCGGTGACTGAGAAAAAGGATGGGAGGAAGTTATGCTATCATAATTTCGCCTTATATTTATCCTCCGATGCCACATTGGAGAGAGAGTGCAACGTGAGGCAAGGAGCCACTGCCATCTCCAAGCTGGTGCTGGCGTTCCTGCTCCCCCTGGTGGTGATCGCCGGGAGCTACGTCAAAATCGGTATCAGCCTGAGGAACCGAGACAGGAGGAGGAAGCAGAGTTCCTGCAGGCTAAATGATACGCTGATTGTGTCAAACAAAGATGGAGAGGCGGGAATCCCAAAAAACTCCAAAAAATTCTTTCTCAAGCCTCTGAACACTGGCCCACCTTTAGCTTCGGTGGAGTTGACCCCCACCACTCCGAGTCAGATGAGTCCGAGTCAGCTGTCCCAGAGTTTCACCAAAATGGTGACATCTGTGATTGCTGCATTTGCACTGTGCTGGGCTCCTTATCACATCTTCTGCATGATTGAAGTTACAGCCCAGTTCAAGGAGGAGAATCTCAAACTGGTGGAGGTGGGGCTGCCCTTAGCTACGACCATCGCATTCCTAAATCCGCTGCTCAACCCCATCCTGTACGCCTTCAGCTGCCCTCACTTCTGCGTGAGGATACGGCAGAGTTTGGGAGCAGTGTTTGATGGGCTGGTAGAGGAAGGAGGAGGACTGCTGATGGCGCCGGGGAGGAGTTTAAAGGCTCACATGAGGCGGAGGAGCAGTCGAGATGTGAGCCTCGCAACGCCAGGATCGCCCAAGTCTTCACCCTCTCCTGCAGGTGACATCCAGCCTCCCTTCCTGCCACGTTTTCCCACCGAAGGCCAAAAAGACAATCGCGCGGAGTACACAAGACAAGAATCGAAAAGTGAGGTGGAGCTAAGCTGAGACACCACTGTGGCTTCATTTTTAGTAAAAGACTTGAATTGTATTTAAACTAGGAGTGGGACTTTAACGCGTTAATTACGATAAATTAATTATAACAAAAATAACACGTTAAAAATTTTTGTTGCTATCCAGGACTGCTAGCGCTAACAGCTCCGGCTGTTTCTGTGCTTGCTATAACATGCTTTGCATTCAGGTGGTACCAGAAGCTTAATGTGCTTCGATGGGATGCAAATTCTTTTTTGCACAAGTTGCACAAAACCATGCTCTTGATAAGGTTTCCATCAGGCAGTTTTTAAAAATGAAACTTGCCCTCCATCAGTCCAAGCAATGCACTCTAATCGGATTCCGCCATGTTTGTTGTTGTTAGCGTAGCGCTGAGCATCTTGTGCATCAGTGTGATGGGTGGATCATGAAATCGGGCACTGACAAATGTTCCGTGTTGCCTGGATGCAAACTGCGATTAAATGCGTTAATTTTTTGTAAACGCGTTATTTTTGTTGTAATTAATTAATTGTAATTAGCGCCTTAAAGTATATTATGGGTGGGACTTTAACGCACTATTTATGTGTTAACGCGGTAAAGTCCCACCCCTAATTTAAACATAATGTACCTAATATACTTGTAGGGCTAATCTAGTAGAAGCCCCTTAAACCTAAACGGTTTAGTTATGACAAAAAGTATTTCCAAGTGGAATGAGTGGTAGGTTAGTTTATCTAGCCTTTGGTCCGTCACTTTCATCCAATTTTGTACAGACATTTGCTGCTTGGAGGTTGAATCTTGCTGACTTTGCTGGTCCCCTAAGTTTCCTTCTTGCACAACTATAAGACTGACAGTTTGGGTGTTTATTAAATTACCTTCAAGAGCTAATCGATGGATTGCAGTGAATTTGACACAAACAATTATTTTCCCCAAAATGATGAATTGTAGAAACTTTGGGGGCTCCCTGACTACTCACTCAGTATCAAGGCAGCATTTAAGTGTATTCACTATTTTGGTTTCGGGCCAAAGAGCAGCAAAGCTAATATACATGCTGATGTTAGCAGCTTTTTACAGTCGTTGACATGAACAGTTTTATCTGTCATTACAGCAGCAGAATGAGTTGCAAAGATTGAGATTCATGCTTCAAACTTAACGTGTGCATTACATTTCTGATCATCCATGCTCTAAATGAACATGTTTTTTATTTGTCTTTATCATTTTGCTGTTAAATGAAAAACACTCATTATTCAGTCACCTCTTTTTATTTATTTATTTTTTTTAAAGTCAAATGACACAGGGGTCAGAAGATACAAGTGAAAGGTCATGAGATGAATAATGGGATAGAAAAGAAAAGAAAGTTTTTTGTTTTTTTTCCACCATATTAACTTTGACCATTTTACCATTTTGGGCTGCTAAAGTGCATTAACATGACATGAGAAAAAGAAAATTATATGCAAACTGTCACAAATTGAAAAAATTTAAGAGATCACAAATATTAATCCTCTGAATCTCAAGCAGTTTCCATGCGTTTTTTTTTTTTTTTTTTTTCTTTGCACCTGGCACATTTTCCCTTACTGTGGGCTAATTTTCCACGGCAATATAAAATCCCGCACCTCTATGGAAACAACACAATCATGGCTAGAAGTACAGAAAACTCAAGAAATGCGTCATTCATCTCAAATATATCAAATCCCCCCCGTGACCCTAGTGAGGATTAATAGATAGAGCATAGATAATGGATGGATGGACGGTTAGTAAACACACTTTTGTTGTACTTTTTTAAAACGAGATGTGTAGAATAAAATGATTTTTATGTCACAATTCTAGATGTGGTTAATTTTCCCAACCGAGCCACACATCACACATAATTTGACTAAGAATATTCAGGAAGTTGAAAATTAGTGTCATTTTACTTTTTTTTTTCTTTTAAAATCATCATTATGCTTTTCAAACTGGCCGAGGGGTTTTGGGCGTCAGAGGGTTAAGAATCTCTGCAGCAGATTGGGATGCTGTTGGTGCTGTGCAGATTCTGGCCACCGGAGGGCAGGATAGCACCGATTACATAAATAGACCTGAAATGAGGAAGTAGGATTATGCTTTTCAGGTCCTGTAATCCAGGAGCACTTTTTAAATGTGAACTCCTGAACGTCTGCGCACCTTTCTGAGTGATTGGATTTGATCATATCTGATATCTATTTTTGATTGACGCTCTCATCACCACCATCACGACCGTCTGACTCCATCACATTCAACTGGACACACACACACACACACTCGGGTGTAATTTAGGCCACAGCAGGGTGGGATTACCATGGAGGTAGTTGTAATTTGGAGAGAATATTAGAGAGCGAAGATCCAGAATATAAAGACAGCGCAGGATTAAATGGGTCAAACTGACGTACAAAGTTCCACTTTCCTCTCAACCATTCATGTCCAACAGATGATTGTTCTCTCTCTCTCTATCCACTATCTCTCCTTCCTTGTTTTCATCAGTTTCTCTCTGTGTGGATAAAGGACAATGCCTGTTTCTTTGTTATCTGATCAAACAAAGATGAAACAGTGAACTCAAAATGACAAGGAAATAAAAATAAAAAAAATTGGAAAGCCGGAGCAGTAAAATAAGAAAACATGCTCACAGAAGTTGACATTTCAGTCAGAAGAATATCTAAATGTACGACTACGTTCTCTTATTTCTATA